CCCCGAGCCGCCACCCGCTCCTCCGCCCTCCTCCCCCTTCACTACCTGGAGGTGCCCGCGACCCGCCGCTAGTTGCGCTCAGGCGGGAAACGCGCTCACCGACACCATCAGCGAAGCGCCCAAAATGGCGGACGTATCAAGCAGGCCTTGAGTTCCCCCTTCCCACCCTCCGGCCGCCTCGCGGCCAATTGCGATCCAGACCCTGCCTCCAGCTCCACCTCATTGGCCTTCCTCTCCCGCCCCCTGCAGTCTATTGGAGCGCCCAGCGTGCCCCGTTGCACTCACTCCAATTGGCTTTCAGGACCCGTCAGTCAAGCGCGAGAGGCGCATTTTTTTTCCCATGGACTTGACGGATCCGGAATCTCTAGGACCCCCGGCGTCTGGAGAAACAAATCAGAAACCAAGAGAAACCCAGCTGGGACCCCTTACGCCGTAGCAACAGTAGGGCCTCCCCTAGATGGACGTGTCGGCCCACCAATCCGATAGCCAATGCTTTTTAAAACTCAATTGAGCCAAACCAATCGTGGTCGTGGAGCTAGGAACTGCAAGAGAACCAATGGGGTAGCGAGATGAGCGGGCGGGTCGGAGGGTCTGGAGGAAACCGGTGATGACGTGAGCCACAATGTGTATCCACCGCGGAAGTCACAAGCAGCTGGGGAATTAGCCCAAATGGTAGAGCGCTCGCTTAGCATGCGAGAGGTAGCGGGATCGATGCCCGCATTCTCCACACTTGAGTTTTATAATGCAAACGGGATTCACTAGCACGTCGTACTCTCTTCGAGAGAAAAAGGTGGCTGCCCCAGGAGCGGGGTCCAGTTCCCTTAACCGTTTGGTGAAGAGAAATGTGCGAACTAGGGAGAGTCCCTTTTGTCTCACGGAAGGATTTACCCACGACCTTCCTCCGAAAGCCGGGCCACCCAGGAGCAGCCCACCTTGTGCACTTACTAATAATAACCTGCCTTATTCCTAAAAGCACGACAAGAGGGCGACTTTTGTCGGCCGGGCTGAGAAAGGCAGGCGGCAAGGTTAGCGCCGTGAAACCGAGCTCAGTGAACGCAGCATCACGCCCACGCGTGTGCGCGCAGTGCGGGGGAGGCCAGGGCTGCGGGTGCTCTGCCTGCGTGGGCAGCCCGCTAGTGCGCGCCTGCTCTGCCCAGCGCGTGGGGGGCCTGGCTCACGCGCAGTGGGGGCCGTCAGGCACCACCCAGGTAAACCGGGGAGTGGTATGTGAAACAGGCCGCAGAGGAGTGGGGATCCTCCCTGAGCAGGTGGCATTGCCACCCATGGGCAGGGAGGACGGGGCCGCAGGGAGAGAGCCCAGAGACCCCAGGGTGAGACTTTGGAGCGCCGGAGAGGCAGGTGTGGCTGGACTGTGGTGGGAGAGGGGCATGGCCCGGGGAGATGGCAGGGATGATGGGTGGTGCAGGACCTTGAGGACTAGAGGAGGAACTTGTGTTTATGCTCAGAGGGAGGGCCGGGAGGAGCTGGGTAGGGGAGGACGTGTTCGGGAGTGGCCATCCTTTAGAAAGGACGGTGTGGAGCTCGAGTAGCACAGGACCAGAGGGGCAAGCTCAGGGCCGGACCCAGGAGCATGCGAGCAGGCTACAGGGAACAGCAGGACAGGGCTGGGACCTGCCCTCCTGGACACCTGGGGCGGGCCCAGCTACCCACCGGTTTCGTTACTCATTCATCATCCAAGGACTTGCCGGTACCTGCCTCAGGCTCCTCCATCCCAGACTCTGAGGGGGGTCACCGGGCCTTGTGCATTATAATTAAATGAAATAATGCAGTGCTTCGGGCAACGTCAGTGGGTCCCAAAAGTCTCCAATTATTATAACTCCTAACCCAGCAAGTTCAACCTTTTTTATTCCATGGCACACATAAATGAATTACTAAAATTCTGCAGCACACCAAAAAATATATTTTTTGCCAATTTGACACCAAAAAAAAGGTATAATTTTGATTCATTCACACCAGATGGCTATTTTGTTGGCACATGCCCTTGACCGGAATCGAACCCGAGACCCTTGAGTCCGCAGGCCAACGCTCTATCCACTGAGCCAAACTAGTCAGGGCCAAGTTCAACCTTTTTTATTCCATGGCACACATAAACGAATTACTAAAATTCTGCAGCACACCAAAAAAAATTTTTTTTTGCCAATTTGACACAAAAAAATAATAATTTTGATTCATTCACACCAGATGGCTATTGTGTGGGCTGTCATATTTTTTTATTTGACAGTCTAAGAGGTCAGTGCCCCTGACTAAATAGTCAGGTATTGCATGTTTTAAAAATCCTAACATAATCCAAAGGGTTGAAATCAGGAGAACTTCCTGAAGGAGGAGACATTTGAGCTCAGCCAATCATCAAGAGCCAGGGGGCTTTAAGGAGGAGAGTGACTTTGAAACTCTGCATTGGTCTTACCATTGTAGAATTTCTAGATTTCACAGATTACTACCTTCCCCTTTTTCTAATCTTTTTGTGATTTAATTTTTAATGTTAAAATTTTCAACCCATCTAGACTTTTTAAAAATTAATATAATTTCACACACACTCAACAATAGAGAGGAATATATAATGAACGCCCATGTGCCCATCGCCCAATTATTACTCCTTAATTTTGGGAACAGACATAGAACTGCCCGATTTTAATTCTATCAGTAACGATTTTTTAAAATATCATTTATTATCATGATTTCATAAAAGGAAGGACATTTGTACACACACACACACACTCAAGAAAGATTAACTCGGGATAAAGAAAAGGTTTTTTAATTGAATAAGCTCCTCTTGAGGACAAAGACATCCCACATCGGCTTTCCTTTTGTTATGTTACCAGGGCTCAGTCCTGATCTGAGGGCTGGAGTGGGGCCACCCTGGGGAAGGCCATGCTCTGGCGGGTCCTGGGCAGGTGCTGGGTCAGGTCAAGACCTGTTGTGACTGGAGAGAAGGGGCCAGATAGGGAGTTCTATTGGGGTGTGAAGGGTAGACCCATTTTAACTTGGAAATTTAACTCTTCTGCTTCTTTTTTCTCCCCCACATTTAGATTCAGTCTGGGAGGGGGGAGGTATTTCCTTTTCCATCATAGGAATGTTGGTAGCTCAAGTGTCAGTAGAAAGGGGAACTGCTGGGGTTGCTAACCATTAGGGCCACCAGTGAGCTGATGGGGAAAGTAGAGAGAAGTGGGCATTTGGGTGGAGAGAGACGGAGAGAGGTGGGAATCTGGGTGAGGACCTCCAGAGAGGAGGCAGCAGGGGTGGGACCAACAAGGGGGGGTCCCAGTGCTGTGAAGAACCAGCTGAGTGGTTCTAGAGAAGGTGCCCCAGGGTGGCCAAGTGGGACCCACACCCTTCCCAACCATCCAGGTCTGCCTGGGACAGAACATTCCACATTACCCACATCCTGGTTCCCCACGGCCTGCCTGGCAGCGGACATGCCCAAGATCTGGCCACATGGATTCTGTCCGGCTGCCCAGGGCAGCCATGGCCCCCAGGGGGCTGCTGGACCCGGACAGGGAGGAGCTCCCACACCCATCCTGGAACAGGATGGCATGGGTGTCACCGCAGATGTTGGAGGGAAGGCACAAGTCCTTTTGGCCAGGTTGAGTAGCACTCACTAGTCAATTAGTAACATTTATTGGATAAAGGAATGATTGGCCCTAGCTGGTTTGGCTCAGTGGACAGATTGTCAGCCCAACCACGGACCCTTGTCCATGGTTCAATTCCAGCCAAGGGCATGTACCTTGCTGGTTCCCGTGGTCAGGGTGTGTGCAGGAGGCAACCAATCAATGTGTCTCTCTCACATCGAAGTTTCTGTCTCTCCCTTCTCCCTCCCACTCTCTCTAAAAATCAATGGAAAAAATATCCTGGAGTGAGGATCAAAATAAATAATAAAATGAAAAAAATACATTTCTTTTTAAAAGGAATGATTGGACAAATTATTGATCAAGCCTTGGTTTCCTTAACTACCAATTGAGGATACCATCTGCCTAGCAGGTCTATTGTGAAGTTTAAATGAAAAAAGCTGGGTTAATTTCATCCTCTCATTTAAGACACAGCTGAAACATCACCTCCTCCAGGAAGCCTTCCCATCTGAATGTGATACCCTCTCTGGGCCCCAGATACCCCCATGGCTTTGGAAACTGCCTGCCTCTATCACTGGATTCAGAGCACCTTCAAGGGAGGACATCTGACTAATGTCTGGGTCCCCCAGCATGTGACTTAAGTGCAGGGCCCTGCACACAGTGGGTGCTTACTGAAGGCTGACAGACTTACTTGGCACATGGAAGACCAGAGCAGGTTGTCCTCCACTCACTCTAGCTGACCACACGGCAGGAAAGCATCCAGGTGAGTGGCCTCTGGCCACCAGATGGCACCCCTAGCCATGCAATGGCTCCATCGGGGCTGGGTTGGGTGCTAGGGGAGTGAGGGGGAGGGCTGCACCCCCCCCCCCCCCCCCCCCCAGCCCACACAGGCCACCAGGGGTCAGCAGCCCAGGCCACTCCTTCCCTTCCCCTTGCCTGATCCCTGGCAGACCCTAGCAGACTGAATGTCTGGCTGGATAGAACGGAGCAGGTGTGCTCCAGGGGACCCCCGATGCATGAGTGAAGGGTAAGAAAGTGAAGGGAGGGTCTCCTAGGGGATCCCCACATGCAGCCACTGCTTCTGAGTCAGCGAAAGTGACCTCCACTTCCTGCTTGGTTGCCCAGGTTGAGATTGGTGCTTTAATTAGCACCTCAGGGTGTGTGCTCCAACCTGGAAGAACAGGAATCCTGGGTGCTTGGCAGCTCTGTGGGGCAGAGAACCCCACCTTGGGCTGAGACCCTGGGTGCACCATCTAGCTCTGCCGGTCCTTAGCGGTGTGACCTTGAGCAGGTGTGTCACCTCTGAGCTTTAACGTGTCCCAGCGCCCATTCACCAAGGACCCGCTGCTTCAGCCGGGCAGACTGGGCGAGGCGTCTTCAGAGGCATTTATCTCTTGGAAGCCTTCCAGCCGTCCAAGGGGTGGTGACGGCACCTTTCTTAACAGATGGGGCCAGCTGGCCTTCCCAGATGCAGGTCTGACCCCTCCTGCTTGCAAAGGGGCCTGAGCATAGGTCCCGCCAGGTGGCCCCGGCAGCCCTGGGTGGGGGCTCAGCACTGGCTTCTGGTGCTCACTGTTGCTTTGTACTGTCCCCGGCATCTGCCCTCCGTCAGTGGCAGGAGCATCCACAGTCAGGGGCCAGGGGAGGTGATTCCTGAAGGTCCGCCCTTGAGGTCCCCAGCTCTGTCCCCTGGCCAAGCAGTCTTGGAGTGCTAAGGGCTTCTGCCTTCCCACTGCCTCAGCGCCAGAGCTACAGGATCCAGTGCATTCTGGGGCCCCCCTTGTGGGAGGCCGTCTGGCAGCTGATCCATTCACCTCGCTCAGCTGTCACCTTTGTATCCAGGCCCTGGAGGGGGGACGGCTCAGGGTCCTATTGGGAGGCCCTCCTTCCAGATCTCTGCTTTGACTCCAATGGAGACTGCTCCCAGCTCTATGCGTGGGGAGTCTTCCATGACCCACCTTAGACATTCCAATTAGGGTCAGGCCCTTCCCGGCTTCCCCTGGCCCCGGGAGAACAGCCCAGCTTCGTTACGACACACCGTTGCTTGCTGACTTCTCTGTCTCCTTCCACAGATGGGGGCCCCAGGGGCAGGAACCAGGCCTCATCTAGTAGTCTCCTCCCATACCACCCAGATGGGCACATCGCAAACCTCGGACAGCGTTCACCGACTGACTGTGTGAGGGCCGGGAAGGAAGGGCCAGGGCAGGCTGGGGGCTTCCTTCCCTGGGGAGAGTGTGGCCTGGCAGCCCCATCCACTGTGCCCACAGGATGGCAGGACCAGGAGGCGCCCCTCGTCTCCAGCACTGTCTTGATGGGCACAGCAGCCTGGGTTGGCACACACAGGCCAGGAACAGCCCGAAGCCCAGCTATTTAAGCTGCAAAACCTAGTGCAAAATTAAAACACAGGGCCTCTTTCTCAAAAACTATTTATAATTTCAGGATGGCAACAGCTGAGACGAAATCAAGCCTGAGGCCCTTCACGACTGCAGCCATGACGCTGGCCCTGCCCGCTGGCCTTTGCCCTCCCATGCGGGAGCCTGATGAAGCCAGACGCCTGCGCCAGGAGGACAAAGGCTGTCCAGGGGAGGGCCAGAGGTCGGAGTTCGCTCCACGGGGACACTCCCCTCCAACGCACACATGGCACAGAAGAATGGCAGTGATGTTAAAAAAAAAAAAAAGGAATGGCAGTGATGTTAAAAAAAAAAAAAAAAGGTTTATAAATATTTTCTCCACTGTACAAAGTCTCCCCAGCCCTGCCCACCCATCACTGTTCACATTTCTCATGTTTTTAAAAATCCCAACTATATTTATTTTTTAAATCATAAAATATATTTTTTCTTTGTTCATATTTAAAACTATTTACAGGGGCGCAGAGAGGCCAGGGTGGCCCGGCCGAGGTCAGGACGAGTCCGTGCAGGGGGACGGCGGGGGCGGGAAGAGGTGGAAATAGCTCCTCTCCGTGGCGGGTGAAGGGGGGCAGCTGTCCTCCGCCGACAGGTACTGGCTGTGGGGTGTGGGCGGGGGCGGGTAGGGGTCTGAGTCTGAGTTCAAATCCAGGTAGTACTTGCTGGCCTTCCAGCGGCTGGCACTGTAGTCGCTGTCACACACGTCAGTGCTGCAAGGCGTTGTCGGGGGCGCGATGCCACGGATGATGTAGGGCCTGCCCGGGACAAAGAAAGGGGGGTGGGGCCTGATTTGAGGACCGGATGGGCACAGGGGTCCCCCAGTCACGTGGCCTCTGCACCTCCACATCCCCACCTCTAAGTAGATGTGCCTCCACCTCCCCGGCAGGGCTCCCAAGCCCAGGCCCTGGCGAGCACGGCAGCCCCAGGCCAAAGTCACCTTTACGGAGAACAAGGCCTGCAGAGCCTACCAGGATGACCCTGGGCAACTTACTTAACCCCTCTTCGCTTCAGCTTCTCACTGATGAAATGGGGAGAATGGAGCAGCACCCATTTCAAAAGGGACTTGTGAGGGTTAAATGAGATTCTGCATAGAAAATGCTCAAAACTCCCTGATAGGAGAAAAGTGCTCGACAACCATTCCCCCTTATATACTGTCCCTCTGGCTGGGAAGGGTCTCATCTTGGGTTCAAGAATCCTGACCCCAGAGGTACCACCCAGCTGTCCTCCATGAGGGCATCACCGCCCAGACGCCTCCTGCGCGCTGAACCCTGTGTCGGGGTGCCACGCGGCCTGCGTGTGGGGCTGGGATCGCGGTGTGTTTATGAGCCCCAGCTCCAGGCCACAGGGGGCTCACAGGGGGCAGGAAGGAGGAGCCAGCGAGGGGTCCCTGGTGCTGAGGAAAGTGTGTAGGGGGAGGATTCCCCTCACAGGACCCCAAGAGCAGAAAGGGACCCCGACAGGCAGTGGGAAGGGAAGAGGTATCAGAGGTGACACTCAAATCAGGGCAGAACAAGGCATGGGGTATTCCAGAGACTGAGGGGCCCGGCCTGGCTGGTGTGGGTGTGACAGCCCTGGGGCAGTGGCCTACGAGGCTGCTGGGGACAGACCCAGCCTGAGGCACCGGGGAGCCACTGCAGGTCCTTGAACAAGGCAGTGACCAGCAAAGAGGTATGTCTCTCCAGAGACTGCGTAACTCCCCTGCTCGGCCCGGAGTTCCCGAAACGGCCACTAGATGGCAGGTGACGCCTCGCTCAGTCTCCACTGTGCCAGGTGACTCAGTAGGGAAAGAGGGGCCTGGACACTCCAGAGCTTCTGCCTGCACCTGGGCGGCCTGGGGATGTGCCAGAGCCCACCCCCACCCACCCCATCAGGTAGTTCACTTGGGGTGAGGGGCCCAGTGCACCTAGAGCCCAGCTGGCTGAGACCGCCAGGTTGAAGTCAGGAGGGTCACCCCCCACCCCACCCCAGGCCGTGACTGGCCCCTGGACACAGACCGGCACACCGGATCCCACTTCTCCTCAACATGCTCAAGTGCCCCCTTCCCGCCAGGGGAGGTGGGGTCTGTGACCCCAATGTCGACCACGTGGAGGATGATAGCGGGGGGCAAGGCAGAGCCACCCCAGCACTCATGTGGATTAGATGTGATCCCCGGCGTCACTGCCAGGGTCCCACAGCCATGCAAGATCGGAATGAGTGGGAGCATTCTTCCAGGGCCCATCTGCCTGTCCCGGCTTCAGAGCCACTCAGATTTGGGATCCGGTGGGCTTCTGGCCTCAACACGCAGACCCGGTCCTCTGGTGTGGTGAGCAGCCCGGTGAGGAGGAGAAGAGCCAGGGGAGGCAAGACTAGGGTGCATCATGTGCTCATAACCACCCTGAACCTCTCCCAGGTTCCTCCTCCTAGGAAACGTGGACCGGACCCTCCCGGCCACAGGCTCCTCTGGAGGCCCAGCCAGCCACTCCCACCAGGGCGGTGCAGGGACTGCGTACCTGTAGGGCCTGGCGGGGGCGGGAATGTTTGAAGAGTAGAATACGTCCACGTTGTACAAGGAGGGGTCCGTGGCGGGGGACGGCGGTGGGTTCAGGATCTGCGGAGAGCCAAGCGGGGGTCACAGAGGCCCAATGCAGCTGTGTGGTCCTGCCACCCGCCGCCAGGTGTCCCCCCAAAGCAGGAGGTGCGGGCCCACACTGGACCGACCGGCTCAGCAGGCCCACACCTCCCAGGGCCCCTTGTCTGGTGAGGAACTTCACCTGTTTGGGCCGTGGTTTCCTCATCTCTAAAATGGGGCTGAGAAGACCTGCTTCCCCGGTCAGGGTCTGTCCTGACACTTGGTGAGTCACCACAAGAAGTACCCTTCCCCTGCCCTCAAAATAACAAGCCCAGCTGGTGGCTCAGTGGTTGAGCATTGACCCAGGAAGCAAGAGGTTGCCAGTTCAATTCCTGGTCAGGGCATGGGCTTGATCCCCTGTAGGGGGCATGCAGGAGGCAGCTGATCAACAACGTTTCTCTCATTGATATGTCTATTTCTCTGTTCCTCTCTCTCTAAAAATCAATACAAACCTTTTTTTGAAAGGTAAAAAAATTACTCTCTTTTTTTTGGAAAATAAAGTCCATACTCTTGTATACTTGTTGATGTAACATTACTCAGGAAGCACACACAAGGATCTTGCCATGGAATGTTGCTCTAAGGGGGTCCCTGCTCGTGTTGGGAGGGGCCCTCTTCCCTGAGCATTCTATTGTGCCTTTTGAATTCTGTACCATGAACATGCGTTACTGATGCAAAATCGTGTCGTTAATTTAAAAATAGCTGGCTCCATGTGGTTTCTTTTTGGGGTGATGAAAATGTTCTAAAATTAACCATGGTGATGGTTGCACATATCTATGAATATACCAAAAACCACTGAATTGTACAGTTTAAGTGGATGAATTGTATGGTATGTGAGTTATATAAAAAACAACAATGGTTGGGCCCTGGCCAATATGCGTCATTGGTTAGAGTGTTGGCCCATGCACCAAAGGGTCACGGGTTCGACTGTCCGTCAAGGGAACATACCTGGGTTGCGGGTTCCCTCCCCACCCGATTGGGGCATGTGTGAGAGGCAACTGGTCGATGAGTCTCTCCCACATTGATGTTTCTCTCTCCCTCTCCCCCCACCCCTCGCTCCCTCCCTTCCATTCTCTGAAAGTGAGGACTAACAGCAACAACAAAAAAACCCAGCTGGCTGTTCATGTCACCACTTGCTGCCTAAGATCCCCAGCTCCCAGCAGAGCCTGGGACAGAAGAGGCAGTCTCCTGAGCCTCCGGTGTCTGCACGGGAGGCCAAGGGGCTGCTTCCTGGGGCAAGCTCGGCCTTACAGGGGTTCCCGGTGCATCCGGCTGGTTCCGTGGGGCTGTGAGCGTCCGCAGGGAGGACGAGAGGAGTGGTGGTTGGTATTCTAACTCCAGGCTTCTGAGTCCTACCTGCCTCTGCCCCAAAACGCAGTCGGGTCCCGGAGCCTCCAGGAGACTCAGTTCCCGTCCTGCGAACCCGAGATAACAGCTTCTGCTGCCCACTCCTCCCCTTCCAGGCCTGCCAAGCTCAGGGCCGATAAGGAGGAGGCAACACCCTGGACGTGCGGGACACCCAGAGGGGCAGGAAGGCCTGGCCCTGGCAGGTGGGCTTGCTGGAGACCCCAGAGAAAGCTCCAGGGGCTGCCCTCACCGTAGAATATCCAGTCACAGGGAGTCAGGTTTCAAAGGGTTAAAAACAGAACCTTCAGACTCTGATGTTTATATACACACAGGCTCACCTGCGTGCCTCAAGCTCGCCAGTCACCTGGAGCTGTGCTCTTGGCAAAGAGGGTACCCCAGCCAACCTCAGGGAGAGGGTTCCCACGAGGGACCCCCCAGCGGGGCTCGGACACTGTACAGTTGTTCTGCTACCAGGTGTGGCTTGGTGAGAGCCAGCCCCTCCCCACACTGGGGCTGCCTGCAGCTCCAAGGAGCATTTCAGCCACAAAAGTCACCCCATGAGTGCCTGCCCTTTAGAAAACAACCCAGCTCTTTTCTGGGAACCAGCAAGAACTTGGTTGGAAAAGAGAGTGTTCCTGGTGGGGATGCTGAGGGGGGCTTGCACAGGGACCCCTGAGCACCCCATGTAGACAGAGTGCAGAACAGAGACTGCGCTCCGACAGTGAAATGCCTGCTAGCAACCGAGGAGGTGGGATGATGGGTGGAACTTCCGTTCTAGATTTCTGTGTGGTTCCCGGATTATCCCCGACGAACAAGGCGTGCCCTTTTCTCAACTGAAAGCAGTGTCGCTAGAGAGAAAAATGGCAGGCTTGTAGGGGAGGAAGGGGAATTCTCTGGTGGAACAGCGAATTAGTCTAGGAATCCTGAGGTCCCAGAGGCATCCCCCGGCCCGCCAGGCCTCCTCCCGCCTCCACTCACTGGCGGGTACAGCGTGGCCTTGGTGCTGGAGGAGCTGCTGGACGAGGCCCCGGTGACGTGGTTCCGGTCGTAGAGGGGCACCCCGCCCCGGCCCCCCATCAGGCTCACGGAGCTCATCATGGACTTGCCGCATGAGATGCCTGCGGGGGACGGGGACAGGGCAGGTCAGGCTGGGGTACACCACAGACACAGTGGGCCCTCCACAGCTCCTGCCGCCCACAAGACCCAGGTC